ATAAGAAAATTAAAAATTATTTGAATAAATGAATATCAAATATAAATAATTTTATAGAAAAAAAAAAAAAAAAAAAAAAAAAAAAAAAATATAGAATAATAAAAATAATAAAGAAAAATAAAAAACGTTAATTTATAAATTATAAAAAAGAAAAAATTAAATAGAATAAAAATTATAATTTGAATTATCACTCTTTTTATAAAATAAAAAAAATGGTTGAAAACAAAGTTGTATATAATAAAGAAAATAATTTAAATTCTCTGGAAAAATGTTATCAAAATTCTTTAGAAAAAAATATATCAGAATTAGTTATAATATATGGTACAAAACTAATAAAAAGAAATATAAAAAAGGATTCATTTTATAAATGGAATATATATGAGAATATTTTAAGAGCATCTATTGAATTGAATTTAGATGAATATATAGATATATATTTTAATAAATTAAATGAAAAATTTGGTAACTTAAACGGAAAGAAAATTGATATATTAAAAGGAATGATTTATGAATCAAAAAATAAAAATACAGAAGCATTAAATATTTATAAGAAGTGTTTATGCAAATATCCCTGTGATCCCTTAGTAAGAACCAAAATTATTAACTTAAAAAAAATATTAGAAAATGATATAAATAAAGTTGTACAATTATTAAATAATCATTTAAAAGAATTTCCATTAGATTTAGAATCATGGCATGAATTAGCAGAAATTTATTTGAAAGATTGTTTATATAGTTACTCATTATATTGTTTTGAGGAAATTTTATTACATTTACCAACTAATTTATATTATATATTAACGTGTGCAGAATTATATTATACATTAAATCAATATGAATTAAGTAGTAAGTATTTTTGCCTGTCTATTAAAATACAAAATAATAATTTAAGAGGATTATGGGGAATTATACTCCTTAATATAACAAGATATTCAAATAAAAAGACAAAATTATTAAATGATAATGTAGATATTATATTAACTTTGAAATGTATTAATAGATTATTTGATTTATATAGTAAATTAAATATAAACTTATTATACAAAAACTCTATTCTTGATTACTTAAATCAGTTGAGAGATAATTTTAAGTAAAATTTATTTGCTTAAAATGATTTTTAAGTTAACACATCATAATACAATAAGAGAAGTTATTAAATGGAATTAAGGTTTCTTTTTTTTTTTTTTTTTTTTTTTTTTTTTTAATAATTATTATGATAAATCAATTTTTAATTTTTTGTTTATAATTGAAATATAATTTTATATTTTTCAATATTTACATTATTTTTTTATATTATTTAATTTGTTTTTACTTTTACATAATTTTTTATTATATTTAATAATTTTGTATATAAATACCTTATTATTCCATTATTAATAATATATATATATATATATTTTTTAAATATTTTTTTACTAAATTACTTTATATTTTTAGTAACAAATTTTTTTTTTTCTCATATAAAAATACAAACAACACTAATATATACACACACATATATATATATATGTATATTATAACTATTTTTTTTTATACTTATTTTAAATACTTTATTATATTATAAGAATGAATAATAATTCATTACAAAGATGATTTACAATATTTTTCCCTTATATATATAATCATATTAATAATTTATCTGTAAATTTATAATTCGTAAAATACAAGAATTTGCAAATTTTTATTAGATAATAATATGATATATATAGTGCTATTCTCATTCTTTACTGTTTTATTTTATTTTTTATAATTATTTATATATCAAAAAGATGAAATAAAGGAAAAAATAAATATCATTCATAAAAAGAAAGAAATATTTAAAGATATTAAACAGAAAGTTATTTTTTGAAATGATTAGAAAGATGAATTATTGAGAAATCAGCATACTGTTGTTTGTATATGACAGAAATGTTAATCGAAATAAATTCCTAAATAAAAACTATTAAATATAAAAAACATAATTTTACAACTGCATTTTTCTTCTAATTTTAATTTCTTTATAATAATTACATTATCAAAAATAATAATACATTATGCCTATGTATATAAATTTCCATAGAGTTGAAACATATATAATCCTTTTTCATTTATTTGTGTAATTCATATTACATTCTTCTCATGTTTAAATGTTAAATATAATTTTTTTCTTTCAAAAATATCATAAAAAAAAAAAAATGTATCACATTAAAATTACTTTAAAAACGAAAAAAAAAAAAAAAAAAAGGAAAATAAATAAAGGAAAATAAATAAAGTAAAATAAATAAAGTAAAATAAAATAAGCTAAATAAAATGTAACGAGACAAAAAATTCATGTAATTTGTATCTTTTTATTATTTTTCTATAATTTAATAAAAACAATAAATTAAAATTATATAAAAATAATATAAAATAAAAAATATATGTTGTAGAATTTTGTTAATAATTAATGTTACTTATATAATTTAAGTTTTTTGTAACATACACATATGGTTAATTATAATTAATTTTTTTTATTAGTATAATAAATAATATATTAATATATATATATATATATATATTTTATTTTTTTATGAGAAATATTTATATATATATTGATATTTTTTTTTTAAAAAAATATAACAAAGTATAATATTTTCTATATTTTTTCATACTGTGGATCACACAAAAAATAAGAATAAAAAAAAATTTTATTTTTTTTATAAAGTTAATAAAAGCATACTTTTTTTATTTTAAAATATAACAAAAGTATTTCTATGTATATATGAAAATAATGAGAAACTTATTTAATTGAGTAGCAGTAGTTATTTTTTTGAATGTAAGAGGTATATTATTTCTTTATATATATAGTGTATAATATTTTGATTATAGTTCAACATAATTATCATCTAAACATTTATCATCTACACATTTATCATCTACACATTTATCATCTAAACATTTATCATCTTTTAAAATAAAATCATCCTTTTTTTTATTATTAGTATTGTTTTTCAACATTTCTTTATTATCTAAAATAGTTTTTAATTGATTAAAAAGACGTAAAATATCTTTATTGTCTAATCTTTGTATAGATTCTATGAGGAAATCATAAGAATTTATTTTATTTTTTTTCTTAACAAATGTTTTCATATAAATATATGTAAACATACCAACAAAAATTTGACAATCAAATCTATCTGTAACACCACCATGACCTGGAATATATTGTCCAAAATCTTTTATTTTTAATGCTCTCTTAAAACCAGAAGCAAAAAAACCACCAAAAGGAGCTAAAAAAGCAGCAAATAAACTTAAAACTAATCCATGAAAAATCATTTTGGTATAATATATTTTATTTATGAATAAAACTGATGATACATGTTTAGGTAAAGTATAAACGTTCTGTTGAAAAATTGAATTTTCTTCGCAATCAATAGTATTCCATGTTGAAAATGGCATAAATGAAATATATGCTTGTGGGCATATAAAAAATTTATACCTTTGTAAGATATATGTAATAAATATACCCCACAATATTGTGATAATTGAAGAACCTACATATCCTTCTACTGTCTTTTTAGGAGATAATTCAATTAATCTTGTTTTACCAAATAATATCCCAAATACATAAGCAAATATATCATTAACTATAACTGAAGAAACTGGCACAATAAACCAAATCATTCCTGAATATATATTTGCTATATGCATTAATGATTGTGTTACTATAAATAAGGAAGATAATAATATAATACCAATTTGAGAAAATTGATATTTTAATGAATATTTTCTTAATGATAAAATAAACCAAGCAAATCCAATAAATGCTAATATAAACATTATTATTGAATGATATGCTAATAAATAATTAAAAAACCATATTTGATGTTTTAATTTAGGTATTATCCAAGGAATACCTAAGGTAATTATAGTTAAAAAAAACCAATACCATCTTATATAAAATATTTGTGGTAATCTTTTGTCTTTATTCTCTATACTTTTTAAAGATATAATTTCTCTATATACTATAGTCACTAATATTAACACTAAAAGAGAACAATAAAAATGTCCTGCAGCTAAAATAAGAAAATATAAACTGATTAATATAAATGTCCATAATGCTCTTATTTTAAATGTTCTTATTTTGGATTCAAAATTTTCCGAATTTAATAATGTGTCATTTATAGTTGAATTAATCCCAGATTTAAATTTATTTATACTATTTCCTTTATTATAACCATATAATTTAATAATGTTGCTTAATTTATTATTTTCTTTACAATTTACTAACTCTTTTAAATGCTTCAATTCTTTATAGTATTTTATATCTTTGGAACTCTTTCTTTTTTTATATTCACTTTTTAAATTATTTTTATTTTCATCTTCTAAAAGATCATTTTTAAAATTCTGTTCATCTAAACTTTTTTTTTTTTTATATATACAAGAAGATTTTCTTTCATTATTTTTACATTCATTTTTAAAGTTTTCTTCATCTATATATTTACTTCTTCTATGTATACTGCTTATATTTCTATTCTCTAAATCTAAATATTCATTTTTAAGATATTGTTCATCTACACTTTTACTTTTTCTTTTTATATTATTCATATTTTTTTTTTCTACATCTAAATACTTATTTTTATTATTTTCATTATAGTTTATATCTGCATTATTTTCATTGAGATCATTTTTATATTTATTTTTCATATTTTTTTCATTTTTCGTTTGCATTGTTTCTTTTATTATTTCTTATATATCATTTTACTATTCAAATAACCTTTTTTTTTTTTTTAATTATTATTACTATTTTATGTTTGTTTTTCAATAAATATATTATAATTATATATATTATAATTATATATATATATATATATATATATATATATATATATATATATATATATATATATATATATATATATATATATATATATATATATATGTTAATATTATTTAAACTACTATCTTTTTATAAATATATTTCAAATATTCAATACCATATGTAAATTTATATAAAAATTCTTATATAAAAATATATTTTTTATAAAATGATTACACGTTTTAAAGTAGAAAATATGATAATTTTAATTTAAATATTTTAAAAAAAAATTTTTTTTTTTTTAAATTTATTTTATAAAAATCATGATATAGGGAAAATATATTAATTCAAAGTAATAATATAAACAAAAAAAAATAAATTATATACATATATATAAAATAATTCGAAAAAATTATATAATTAAATATTATCCATGTTATCACTTATATAATCTCTTTTTTTAATATAAAAAATTTTTGAAAAAAAAAAAAAAGGAAAAAATAAATCTTTATGAAACTAACAAAGAAGTATCATATTACCATAAAAAAATTAAGAAACTTTAAAAAATCATGATGAAATTTTTAAATTAATGAAAGTTATAAAATGAAATATTACAGAAAATATATATATAAAGAATAATATTAAAAAAAAAAAAAAAAAAAAAAAAAAAAAAAAAATTAAAAGAATAATAATTATAATAAAATATTTATCAAAAAATAAAATAAAGGAAATAGAATTGTTTCAGAAATTATAGATGAAATATACCTAGTTATTTAAAAAAAAAAAAAAAGATAAAATTGTAGAATACAAATTCAAATTGAAAAAAAAGATATGCTTTTAAGGAAAAAAGATAGGAAAAAAAAAATAAATATTAAAAAAAAAAAAAAAAAAGAAAAGAAACAATATTTAAGAAAGTTTTAGTTATTTTTATATATATATACGAAACCTTCTATGGTTAGTGATAAACGTACAAATTATGTTTTATTTATTATTTTATAATGTGTCTTTATTAATTTTGAAAATAAAATATATCGTATTTCAAATATTTTTATATAATACTAATTTGTTATATAACTTCTGACAAACATAATTTTCTACTCATTTTTTTTTAAAATTTACATTTTTATTTTTATTTTACATTTTATATAAATATTTTAATAATTTATTTGTTTCTATTATTTTTTTTACTTAATAAATAAAATATATATCTATCAGTAAAATAAATTTTAAGTATAATAAGATTTTATTTTTCAATTTTTTATAAAATATCAAATATTTTTTTTTTTTTTTATTTTAAATACAATTTTTATTCATTTATGTTTAATATTTCATATGGAGTACTAGATGTACGTTTTCTTATTGATATGCAAAAATTATTTATGTAAAAATTTTTCTATTTTAAAAAAAATTTAAAAATAATTGTTTTTGGAAAAATATTATTTTATTATATAAAAACCTTTAAAACTATGATGTATAAAAATTTTTATCTGAGTAGAATTGCGTAAATATTATTTAATAAACAACTATTTTATATATTAGAAAAAAAAATTTAAATAAAAATTTGAAAAAGATTTAATTTTTTGTGATAAGATCATAATAATTATAATTCTTACAAAACTTTGATATTTTTTTTGTCTAATTTCATTATTATTACGTTTTTCTTAAAGATATGAAAAATATAAATAAATGGTATTTTAATATACTTCATTTTATTATAGAATCAATTATTTTTAATTAATACTTTTATATTTAAATATTTGATTGATAAAAAATTTATATATTATTATATTTAATAATGTTATAAGAAAGTTATGCAATTCTTTTAATGTTCTTGTTAATATGTATGTACAAACATACATAAAAAAAAAAAGAAAAAAAAAATGCGAAATAAATAATGGAATATATCTAACACTATTAGATGAAATATAAAATTTTAATGTTATAAAAGTAATATATTGTAAATCTTTTAGGGTATGTTTTATATTTAAAATATGCAAAATTAACTATTGAATGTATAAAAAAAATTATATAAAAAATTTAGCTTTTCTAAGTTTCACTTGTGAATGAAAAAAAAGTAAAAACATAAAAATATAAATAAATATATATTTTCTATTTTTTTTTTTTTTTATATTATATTGTTATCATGTTTTATTTCAATTTTATTTCATTATATTTTATTATAATTGCTTACATACATTTTTGATTTTTTTTAATTATTATCTACTAAGAATGTCATTAATATACGCATAAATAATAAGCTTACATAATAATATATATATATATATATATAAATATATATATATATATATATATTTTTTACATATATATTCTTATTATTAATTAAAAAATTTAGAGTGATACAAAAATAATATTACAAATATATGTATATATCTACTTAAGTTAAATATAGTAAATAATACAATATATATAATTAATTTCTTAAAAATTTCTATTATAAATAAATTATTAAAAAAAAATTTTAAATACCAAATATTTTATTTTAAAAGAAAATAAAATTCCATTAGTACTTAATTGATTTTATAAATTTTTTTATTATAAATAAAATATAGTATTTTTTTAAAATATATTTTTCTTTTTAGTAAATATTTCATCAATAATAATGATATGAAAAAAAAAAAAAAAAAAAAAAAAAAAAAAAAAAAAAATTGTATTTATATACACATATAGATATAAAGTAAATGCCTAAATAAATGTATGATTAAATAAGAATTCAGTAAACTTTATTTTTTTTTTTTAAGCTATTATTATATATTACATCTTATATAATAAAAATCAATTTAAAAAAATAAAATAAAAATTTAAACTATTCTATATATAAAATAATTACACAATAACGCAATTAAAAATGAATGAAAAAGCACGATAACATAAGTATATATATGTAAATGCATATATGTATTTTTAAATAGATACTTTGTATTAATAATAATATTTACAAACAATTATGAATATTCATCCATGTAAAATAAATGTATTTTATAACTATAACATGTAAATTATAATATTATTATATAATAACAAATTAATTTTCAAAGTAATTTTTTTTTTTTTTTTTTAATTTCTATGTATATTTAATTTAGACTTTTGTAAATACATTATATATTTAGTAATGCAAATATAAAAATAAAATATATCTCTATGAAATTTACACATTCATATAAAAAAATTATACACATGTAACTATAAGTAAATAAATTATAAAATAGGTGATTAAAAACAAATATCATGGAATATAATAGATATATATTCATTTATGTTTATTATGATATTATTTTTATGTTTTTATATATTTATTTATTTACATATTTTGGTTACAATATATATATATATATATTCATTTATGTCAACATACTTATGTTTAATTTATGATTTTGCGCCTTTTCTTTTATCAGTTTATTTTTTTTTTTATTTTTTTTTATTTTCATTATTTTATTAGATTATTAATTATATATATATTTATTTATATAAAACAAAAGGATAAAAAAAATTATGTATGAGGTCCGGTGTTGATAAAATTTCTTCTATTATCTGTGTTATTTAATTTACTTCTTTGATTTAACAATGCTTGAACATATTGTTCTTCTCCTTTTTTTATTGTAACTTTTAATTTTTTTTTATGTGCTAAAAAACCATTCATATATTTTACAGCATTAATAGCACTATCTACATTATCATAGGATACAAAAGCAAACCCCCTATTTCTACCAGTATCCTTTTCAGTTGCAATATGGGCAGATATAATATTACCAAAAGGTGAAAAGGCAGCTAATAAATCATTTTGCATCCATTCATTTGGGATATGAAAAATAAAAATATTAGCTCCTACTGGGCCAGTTAATTCGTTAATATTTAATGGATTCATAAAAGATTGATCTAATTTTCTAGGTTTGTGCCATTGTGTTTGTCCAGTTAACTCATTGTGATAATAAGGTCTTCCATCTTCTTTTGAAAAATATTGTTTCCAGTGGGATTGAGTAGAATTATTTGCTGTTCTTTGTTGATTTGCAGTATTCTGCAAATTATAATTCATATGTAAAGGATATCTACTAAAAGAGCCAACATGCATATTTTTAAATTGTTGTGATTGCATATATGTATTATTATTATTATTGTTATTATTGTTATTGTTATTATTATTATTATTATTTAATGGATTCATTAACGATCTACTTAATATTTGCTTTTCTTGTAATTGATTTTTTGTTTCAGCAAATCGTACTTCTATTGGTTTTTCAGCATTTTCTATAGCTATTTTACCATTTAAATTTTGTATAGCAAATATTCCTTGTTCTTTAAAACCATAATTAACAAAAGCACATCGTTTACTAACACCATTACTATTTTTCATTATATATATTTCTGTAACATTTCCATATCTATTAAATAAATTTCTTATTTTTTCTTCTGTTATATCTTTAGGTAATGATCCCACAAATAATTTTGCTTCGTTTTCATTTGCATTATTCATATTGACTCCATATTTTTCTAATTCTCCAATGGCAAACTTTACTATTAATGGTCCCAAATTTTCATTTAATACTTTCTTACCATGTAATTCCTTTATTGCTTTTTGTGCATAAAATATTGACTCCATTCGAACAAATACATTTGCTCTGTTTATATTTGGCTTTTTATCTTTAATAAAAACAATATCTTTTATTCCTCCAAATTCTTCAAATATTGTTCTAATGTCGTTTTCTGTCAAATTTTTTGGGATTGAACTTACAAATAATTTTACAGGTATAGATGGAGCTGGATTATATGGATTATTTATTTGATAATTACATTGTTCATTTATTCTCGTTTCACCATAAGAAGATTCATTTTTTTCATTATTATATTGTTGTGTATTGTTACTCATTGTATTTATGTTATTCATAAAACTCATAATTTTATTAAAAAAATGTTTATTTTCTAAATATACCCCCAAATAATAATTTTTATGAAAATATCTCTTCAGAAATATATATATATATTTTGAAGAAAATTTTATTTAAATTTTTTTTTAATTTTTAAATAATCCTTTAAAAAAAATTTACTTCTTAGAAATATAATTTTTAAAGAATATATTTCTTTTTTTTTTAAAATATGCATCACTTTATCCTATTTTACTCTCTATATATTATCTTATTTTTCAAAATTTGTTTAAAAATATTCTCTGTAACATTTGTAATAAAACAAAATTTTAACAGCTCTTAAAAAAAAATGTAGTTTTTTTTAATTATTCTTCAAATAACATAATATTTAAATAATTCTACAAAAAAAAAATTATTTTTATATAATTCTTTTATCAATAATTGCTAATATTTTAAAAAGGAACTTATTAGTATCATTACTATTATATTTATGTTATTGTTATATTTAACAATACAATTTTTTTTTTTTTTTTTTTTTTTTTTTTTTTTTTTTTTTTTGTTTTTCTCAAAATTCTTTAAAAAATTTACCTTCCTCAAAAAACTATTTTTCTTTTAAAGTATTATTTAAGAAAATTTTATTTTCCTCATAAAATTTTATAATTTTTGATGAGACTAATTTTATTGATAAAATGACAATCTCACACAATTTCTTAATATTTCAGATAAAGTTAATGCTTTTGTTAGATTTCTCTTCTTTAGAAAAACACAATATATATTCTCTAAAATATTGTACTCTTAAAAAAAACTCCTTTTTTAATTTATAATTTTTTTTAATTTTTATTATTTACAAAATATATCCCGTATTATAAAGTATACAATATTTTATAATATTTTTATGCATGTTTTTTTTTTTTTTTTTTTTTTTTTTTTTTTTCTCAACAAAATATAGAATATTAATTTATGTAAATAAATACGCTAAAATAAAATATTGTTTTAAATTGAAAAAATTAATATAATTGCTTAAATATCTTTTTAACTCTAGCGTGTTCATATTTTTAGAATAACCTATTTTTTCTAATTTTTTTTTTTTTTTTTTTTTTTTT